CCACAAGCTGTACGTCAAGCTTGCCAAGTGTGTCTTCTGTGCCGACGAGATTCCGTGTCTCGGGGACTTCGTAGGACGCAACGGCGTACGGATGGATCCGGACAAGGTACAAACCATCAAGGACTGGCCAGTACCACGAACACAAGAGGAACTTCACAGCTTCCTTGGGTTGACTGGTTACGTCCAACGATTTTGTCCAGACTACGCAGCACTTACTGCAACAATGTTCACTCTCTTGAAGAAGAAGAACAAGAGGAACGCGAAGATCCAATTCAATGATGAGCAGTTGAAGAATTTCAAGGAGCTGAAGAGGCGACTGTGCAATCCTCCAATGTTGCACCTCCCTAACTTCGGCCAGCTCATGCATCTGCGCACTGATGCGAGCAAATTCGCTGTCGGTGGAGTATTATTCCAAGTCGTGGACGGAGTTGAGCGACCCATTGCGTACACAAATCGAAAGATGAAACCCGCGGAGCTCAACTATCCAACACAGCAGCAGGAGCTACTTGCTGTCGTGCACGCGCTAGCAGCTTTTCGAATTTACTGCTTGGACAAACCACCGATCGTCGAGACAGACCACAAAAGTCTCGAAGGGTTGTTCACACAGAAGATGGCTAACCGCCTATTGGCTAGGTGGTACGACATTCTCGCTGAGTACCAACCCACGTTCTCGTATCTTCCTGGTGCGAAGAACGGAATCGCGGATGCATTGAGTCGCAGACCTGACTTGCAACCAGATACGAAGTATTTCCATGACCTGAGTGTGTCCAGCTTCAACGACACTTCCTTCAGTCTTGCTCTTAGTGAAGTGTCTACAGATTCAGAGCTGCTGAAGAGGATCAAGGATGCTTACGCCAAAGATCGAGATGTCCAGACAATCCGGGCAGCAATCCAGCGACGTACAAGCGCCTCAAAGTCGAAAGCAAAACACCAGCACCAGAAGCTATACCGATACTATTCGGAGGCAAACGGCTTGCTGTGGTATCAGTCTCCGGTGGATGACCACCCTCGAATTGTTGTTCCCAACGATGTGAAGTTGAGGCAATCGATAATCAAGGAGAGTCATGACACCAACTACAGAGGACATCCTGGTACTGAGCGAACGTACTTGACGTTAGCACGACGCTGGTACTGGTCCAAGATGCTCAAGTCGATCCAAAAGTTCATTGCTGACTGCGAAGCATGTCGACGAAGCAAGCCAAGGCTGACAAAGCCTCCTGGTTTACTCGAACCATTGAGTATTCCGGATGAACGCTGGAGATCAATCTCCATGGACTTCATCACGGATTT